AAGAGTACAGAATGTGATACCTAATATATAGAGTGGAGGAAGAAGAAAAAGTAGGGAGGAAAAAAGGGCCTTTAGATTGTGTTTGAAATAGCATACTAAGTGGGTTAAGTTAAAACTGTTAGATAGTAAAGAAGCTGCCCTTGAACCTTTGGTTACCACATATCTGAAGCCTGCAATGTAAATGAACTGAATGTACCAATCAAAAGACATAGAGTTACAGAATGGATAAAAAAAAAAACAAGACCTATCTATATACTGCTTACAAGAGACTCACTTCAAACACAAAGACATACACTGACTAAAAGTGAAGGAATGGAAAAATATATTTCATGCAACCAATAGGGAGAAAAAAGCAGGTATTGTAGTACTTGTATCAGACAAAATAGACTTCAAAACAAAGAAAGTAACAAGAGACAAAGAAGGACATTACATAATGATAAAGGGGTCAGTCCAAGAAGAGGATATAACCGTTATAAATATCTATGCCCTTTATATAGGAGCACCTAAATATGTGAAACAAATACTAACAGAATTAAATGGGGAAATAGAATGCAATGCATTCATTTTAGGAGACTTCAATACACCACTCACTCCAAAGGACACATCAACTAGACAAAATAAGTAAGGAGACAGAGGCACTGTGCAATGTATTAGAACAGATGGACCTAACAGACATCTATAGAACACTCCATCCAAAAGCAGCAGGATACACATTCTTCTTAAGTGCACATGGAACATTTTCAAGAATAGATCATATTCTAGGCCACAAAAGAGCCTCAGTAAACTGAAAAAGATTGAAATTGTACCAACAGCTTCTCAGGCCACAAAGGTATGAAACTAGAAATAAATTGTGCAAAAAAAATGAAAAAGCCCACAAACACATGGAGGCTTAACAGCATGCTCCTAAATAATCAGTGGGTCAATACCAAATAAAAAGAGAGATCAAGCAATATATGGATCAAGCAATAAGTGAAAACAACTCAACACTGCAAAATCTGTGGGACGCAGAGAAGACAGTTCTACAAGGAAAGTATATAGCAACCCAAGCTTACCTCAAGAAAGAACAATCCCATATGAACAGTCTAAACTCACAATTAATGAAACTAGAAAAAGAAGAATAAATGAGGCCCAAAGTCAGTAGAGGAAGGGACATAATAAAGATCAGAGCAGAAATAAATAAAATGGGGAAAAATAAAACAATAGAATCAATGAAACCAGGAGCTAATTCTTTGAGAAAATGAACAAAATAGATAAACCCCTAGCCAGACTTTTCAAGAAAATAAGAGTGTTTTTCACACATAAACAGAATCAGAAGTGAGAAAGGAAAACATTACAGACACCACAGAAATACAAAGAATTATTAGAGAATACTACAAAAAATCATATGCTTGCAAATTGGATAATCTAGAAGAAATAGACAACTTTCTAGAAAAATACAACCTTCCAAGACTGACCCAGGAAGAAACAAAAACTGAATAGACCAACTACCAGCGATGAAATTGAATTGGTAATCAACAAACTACCTAAGAATAAAACCCCTGAACCAGATGGCTTCATCCAAAAGAAGAAACAACAAATGCTGGCAAGTATGTGGAGAAATGGATGGGAACCTTCCTACACTGTTGGTGGGAATGTAAATTGGTGTAACCGTTGTGGATAGCAATATGGAGGTTCCTCAAAAAACTAAAAATAAAAATACCATTTGACCTAGTAATTCCACTCCTAGGAATTTACCTGAAGAAAACTAGATCCCTGATTCAAAAAGACATATGCACCCCTATGTTTATCACAGCACTATTTATAGTAGCCAAGATATGGAAGCAACCTAAGTGTCCATCAATAGATGAATGGATAAAGAAGATGTGGTACATATACACAATGGAATATTATTCAGCCATAAGAAGAAAACAAATCCTATCATTTGCAACAACATGGATGGAGCCATAGGGCATTATGCTCAGTGAACTAAGCCAGGCAGAGAAAGACAAGTACCAAATGATTTCCCTCATTTGTGGAATATAACAACTGAGCAAAACTGAAGAAACAAACAGCAGCAGAGTCACAGACTCCAAGAAAGGACTAGAGGTTACCAAAGGGGAGGTATGGGGGAGGGTGGGTGAGAGGGAAGTAAAAGGGGATTGAGGGGCATTATGATTAGTGCATATAATATGGTGGGTGGCACAGGGAAGGCAGTATAGCCCAGAGAAGACACGTAGTGACTCTATAGCATCTTACTATGCTGATGGACAGTGGCTGCATTGGGGTGGGGGTGGGGACTTGATAATATGGGTGAGTGTAAAAACTACCAATATTGCTCATGTGAAATATTTTTATAAGATATACAATCTTTATAAGATTCTATATCAATGGTACCTTAAGAAAAAAAGCAAAAATTTCATCTGAGTCTACCCTAATAGTTAAAGACCAAGATAGGTTCTGGGAGAACATTAGTAACATAAATTACATGTTTTCATGCAGTCGCTAAATGGTGTAGGAGTTCGAAGGAGTAGAGTCATTACCTTGTATGTGGAGGTTGGGAAAACCTTCATAGAATACATTACTAATTTCAATCTCCAATAAGCTAGGAGGGCTTCTACTGAACATTCAGTTTTTTCTTGTTGATAATTGAATGAACCTGGAAAGCACATCCGATCAGTTGTCTTCATGTTGAATTTTTTGTATGAATGAGTTTTACTTGGAATACCTGTTTTCTATTCTTTTGGTTCAACATGTCTTCCTTCAGTGTATTTGTGTGTGTGTGGTAAAAAAAAATGTATAACGTAAAATATACCATTCTAATAACAGTTTTTAAATGCACAGTTCAGTAGTGTTAAGTATATTAACATTGTTGTCAAATTGATTTCCCGAACTTTTCATTGTGCAAAACTAAACTCTATACCCATTAAGAAAAATTTCTCTATTCTCCCTCCCTGCAGCCTTGGTTACCACCATTCTCTTTCTATCTCTATGAAATAGATTGTATTAAATACCTCATGTAAGTGGCATCATATAGGGCTTCCTATCCTTTTTTTTAGAATTTCCTTCAAAAAACTTTTTTACATACAAAAAACTATATGTAATTAATACCTACAACTTGATGAGTTGTAGATAAGCATATGCATATGAACTATCACCACAGTCTTTGCCATAAACCTCTCCATTAACTCCAAATTTTCCTCCCATTCTCTTATTTATTATTATTATGGTTTTTTTGATATGATAAAACACTTGACTTAAGTTCTAACCTCTTTGTGAATTTTAAAGTATACAGTACAATATTGATAACTATTGGGACTATGCTGTACAGTAGATCTCCATTTATCTTGTTTAACTGAACCTTTGTACACTTTAACTAATACCTTCCATTTCCCCCTCCCCAGACCCTGGAAACTATTATTCTACTTTGCTTCTATAAGTTTGGCTTAGTTCACTTAGTATAGAATCGTCTAGGTTCATCTGTGTTGTTGCAAATGGTGGAATTTCCTTCTTTTTTAATGTTGAACAATATTACATTGTATATGTACACACACATATAATGTGTGTGTGTGTGTGTGTGTGTGTGTGTGTGTGTGTGTGCACGCCACATTTTCTTTATCTATGTCTTGGTTAGTAGACATTTAGGTTGCTTCCACATCTTGGCCCCTGTGAGTCATACTGTGGTGAACATGGGAGTGTAGATTTCTCTTTGAGAGCCTGATTTTACTTCCTTTGGATATATACCTAGAAGTCGGATTGCTTGAATCATATGGTGGTTCTTCTGTTAGTTTTTTGAAGATCTTCCACACTGCTCTCCTTGGTGCCTGTAGCAATTTACATTACCACCTACACTGTACCAGAGATCTTTTTTCTCCATATTCTTGCCTACACTTGTTATCTTTTTGTTTTTTTTTATAAGAGCCATCCTGCCAGGTGTGAGGTAACATCTTACTGAAGTTTTGATTTGCATTCCCCTAATGATTATTGATATTGAGCACGTTTTCATATATATGTTGGCCATTTGTGTATCTTATTTGGTGAAATATCTATTCAACTGCTTTGTCCATTTTTAATCAGTTTTTTTCCCTATTGTGTTGTTAAGAAGTCCATTTTGAATAGTAACCCTCTAGTAAGTATATGGTTTGCATAAAGCAAAACCGAAGGAATAAAACAGCAGGAGACTCACAGACTCCAAGAAGGAACTAGCTGTTCCCAAAGGGAAGAGATTGGGGAGAATGGGTGGCGAGGGAGGGAGAAGGGAATTAAGGGGCATTGTGATTAGCACATACAATGTAGGGGGGTCACGGGGAAGGCAGTATAGCACAGAGAAGACAAGTAGTGACTCTGTAGCATCTTACTATGTTGATGGACAATGACTGCAATGGGGTGTGGGGTGGGGACTTAATAATATGAATGAATGCAGTAACCACAATGTTGCTCATGTGAAACCTTCATAAGATTGTATATCATTGATACCTTAATATAAATAAATAAATAGATAAATAGATAAATAAAAATATATGGTTTGCAAATATTTTCTCTCCTTGTGTAGGTAGCCTTTTCATTTTGTTGGTTGTTCCCTTTGCTGTGCTGAAGCTTTTTAGTTTCATGTAATCCTGTTTTCTGTTTTTGCTTTTATTGCATGTGATTTTGGTCTCATAGCATTTATTTTTAAAGCTGATATTCTGTTGTATGTATATGCTACATTATCTTTACTCATTCATCTGTCAATGGGCTCCCTTTACATTTTAGCCATTGTGAATAATGCTGCTTTTAACATGAGTGTGCAAAACTCTTTATGACCCTACTTTCAATTCTTTTGGGTATATAACCAGAAGCAGGGTTGCAGGATCATGTAAAAAGTAGAAATAAGTCTACTTTTAATTTTTGAGAAACCTCTTCATGTAGAACTTTTCACAGATTTCATTGCTGTTGCTCCTGCTAAATTGTACCTAATAATCTTTGTTTGGTTAATATTATGGACCTTTTTAATTAAAACAGGTTTCTTTTTTTTGCATATCCAGGGCCCTTGCAGAATCTCCACCATCTGTAAACAACCCAAAGAGTGAACTTGGCGATAAAAGAAAGAATAAAGATGAAGGGGAAGTTTGTAATAATGAAAAAAAGTCTTCAGATATTTGTCTTGAACCTACTCCAGAAGAGAAAAAGAAGAAACGTTCTGGATTCAGAGACAGAAAAGTATGGAATAACAATCTTATAAACCGATCAGAGCTATAGTTAATCCCAAATTAGAATAAGGCAGTTGAGTCTCTTTTATCATGTATTTCAGATGGTTTTTATTCATTTGGAAGTTATTCACCTCTGTGCTTGTTTTGATCATGTTCTAAGGCAAATGTACTCCTAGAAATTGAAGTTAATGGGGATAGTGAAAGGCTCTAGGATTGGTAATCAGGATTAGCATATATTTTCTTCATTCTTTCAATTCATTTACCTCAGGCGATTCTTGCTTTCTGGATCTTTCTGATGCTGAATGTTCTCATAGATGTTGAGTCTTTGTGATATTACTGATTTTTGATGCCAACTGGTAAAGGCAGAATAAGATCTCTTTGGAAAGAGACAAGTATTTATATTCTTTTCCCTTGCTTATGCCATTAAAAATGGGAAAGGAGTATCATTCATCATTAGTCTACATCACCTAAAGTTGTAAAATCAGAAAATATTTACTTTATTCTTTCTAAAAACTTTTTGTGAGATTATAAAAATATACTTTTCCTTCCTAAAACTCAATTCTGAAGCAGGGGATTACTTTTTATTGGTTTGTCTGCTTTTGGTTTGATTGCTTGGTTTTGGGAAACAGTAAACTAAAAGATAACAGACTGCTAAATACAGGTTTTAGTTGGGTTGTTTTACTATCTTCACATCCCATTTCTTAGGTGATGTAATCGTAATGATTATCTTAATTTGTTTACTCATCTTTCACTTTAATATTTCCTGTGTTGGGTAACTGTCTCACTTTGGAGTACTATTACTCCTAGAAGTTCTTCCTTATCTGGCTGTAATATTTATCTATGAGTCTAGTTCTGCTATTTAGAATCACATAGAATATCTGAATTTTTAAAAGTAATTGTCTTACTATAAAATAATACATAGAAGAATCTACTAAATGGATTTCTATAGTCATCATTTCCTTTCATTCTTTATAGTTTTATCATCCAAATGTGCATCCCTAGATATATAGCTTAATCTTACCTTTTTGCGTTGATACATGTCTTTTAAATCTTTCATTCTACAGGTGGAAGAACCTGTAGGGCAAGTTTCCTACTGTCTGGATTTTACTGATGTTTATTGTCAGTGAAATTGAGCACATTCCTCTGTTTTCTGAATTACTTGAATATTGGCAACTGGATTCTGAGGCTTGAACAGTCTCAGATTTAATCCTAGTGGCAAGACTATAAGTGGTATTGTGTTCTTTTATCAGAAGGCACCTAATTTCTAGATGCATTTCTTTTTGTGATATTAGCAGCTATTGATGTTCAATGGCTAGATCTGTTCATTCATTGAGGTTGCAAAATAGTGATATTCTAACTTTATTATGTCTTTTCCATTTATTAATTGGAACACTATAAAAAAGATACTTTCCCTCCTCTACTGTTTGGTTGCAACTAGTATTTTGTACTCTTTGGTGCAGTTCATATAGGATATATAATTCCTGAATTCTGATCAACTTATGTCTAGTAGTTTTATTAAACACAGCTGTTTTAACATCATGATACCCAAGAATGTTTTAAGTAAATGATTAACTATAACTGTTATAATTCCTTTAGTCAATCTTTTCTCCAGGCTAAACATTCCAAAACCCTTCAACAGTTTTCCGTGTATCTTGGATTCAAAGCCTGTGTTATCTTGAATGCTGTATTCTGAGTCCTTTTAACATGACTGCTTAGAAGGAGGCAGCTCTGTATCAGCTGATATGGAATGATCTCCAAGATGCATTGCTGAGCAAAAAAAAGCAAAATATATGCTATACAGTATGTCTGTACTAAACTCTAATACAGGAATACAGGAAAAACTCTACTAATATAGGAAGCAAAAAGTCTATTACTTGATTTATTAAACTAAAACTAATAATTTTCAGCAAAACTTAGTGACTATTATAACAGTCAAGGAATCTGATTTTCAATCTGAAAATAATTGACTTTTAATTTATCTTTCTGCCTTTATCTCATATTTATTTTGCATGTGATTGACTTAATTTTTTAGTTCACATAGCCATCTTGTGCAGTAACTATAGTTTATGCTCTAAATGTTGCGAAGTGATCATTTGTTGTTGTTGTTCATAAGAAGAACAAGAACATAGAGGGCCTAAAGAAAGTTCTTATCCAGTAGCCAGTATTATCCAGAAGACAGCAGTAGTATAATATAAAATGCTTTGATTCAGGACTTATAGCTAAGTCCCAAGACTGATAAGGGGTTGAAAAGCTCCTTGGTGTGTTTGTCACATGCCAAATCTTTTGATAAAATATCGTCTGAAATCTCTATTCAGATTTTAATGCAAATTATCATTGTAAAGATTCCTGTCCTATATAGTTACAAATTAACAGTCCTTTCTTACTTGATAAATGTACATTGGGTAATGGATTTAAGACCATTATTAAACTGCTATCAGTGACCTCAAAGTTATCATCGAACCAGGACTGACAGTAACTAATAGCTCTGTTAATATGGTGAATTAAAACATTAGTCATGTTTTTCTTAATATTAGTGAATTGCTGTACAGACATTGAACTGATGGATTTTTAGATTATATTGCCTTTACACATTTCTAACCAGTTATTGTTAGCCATCCCAACATATAAAATTCAGGTATGAGAGAAATCTTTTCACCAAAGCGCTCTATAGTTGGTGTTTTGGTGAAAAAGATTTCTCATACATGAATTTGTAAAATATATATTTGTATTTATTTATATATGTATATATTTTTTTATTTAGAAGACACAGTATTTTGTATGCTCTGTGCACAGAATGGGGGCTTGAATGCCAGATAAGGAAATGGACTTTCAGCATTACAGTTAGTTAAATGTATGCCATATTTGATTTTGTTCCTATTCAAATATTTGCTTCTGTTCTTCCCAATTCTGCTCTTTTTTAAAAATACTGTATGTAAGGATCTCTGGCAGTTTGCTTAATTTTATAGTCAAAAATAAAAGTCTTATTGCTTCAGACTTGTTAGTTTCCGTGATACGTAATTTTATTTTTTTATGCTATCACTTAATGTACTTTGTGTTTGAAAGACTGATGTTCAATCTTATTGCTTCAGACTTGTTAGTTTCCGTGATACGTAATTTTATTTTTTTATGCTATCACTTAATGTACTTTGTGTTTGAAAGACTGATGTTCAACCCTTTGAAGTCCCAAGTCTGTTTTGTCTTAGGACTCAGGAACTTGCCAAGAAGTAAAAACTGTAAAATCAGTCCCTTTTTAAAAACCTGGTATTTAAAAACCTGTAGGCTACCTACCATATATGGCACTATACCCTGTTACTGAGACCTTTTCAATTATTGTATGACATTTTTCCTTTTTCTGGCTTTAAATGATTTAAGAAATTAGAAGACTCTTCACAAAAAATTCTAAGCTAAAGTTACATGAGCATTGCCTCAACCGGAGTATGTATATTGGAAGAAAGATTAAGAAGATTTTGAAATTCAAGTTTATTTCTCATATAAAAAGTCAAGTCAGAAAAAAATGATGTAAAATTTCCCCAAAATAAAATAGAAAATATATTAAATTAAGAATTCCTTAATATAGTAACACTCTCTGAATTTCTAATTTTAGGTGATGGAATATGAGAATAGGATTCGAGCATATTCTACACCAGACAAAATCTTCCGATATTTTGCCACCTTAAAAGTAATCAGTGAGCCTGGTGAATCTGAAGTATTTATGACTCCACAAGATTTTGTGAGATCCATAACACCCAATGAAAAACAACCAGAACGTAAGTTGCTGAAGTGAAAATAAGGTTATGATACTTATTTTGTTACATGCTGCTTCGTTGCTTTCCTTGTATTGCCTCAACCTTACAGGTCCATGCAATAATTATATTCACTGTGTTGCTATTGAATGTCAGACTCCAGACTTCAGGAATGCAAAAGAGACACATATAGTCTAATGTGGCAATCCTCAACTAGGGTAAAGGAGTGAAGGGATTGTACCCCTCTGGCTGAGATACATTGCTTGTAATGAGAATGTTCCATAGGTAATGTATTACCTTCATTCATCTCAAAGTATTTACTAACTTCCTTTGTGATTTCTTTGATCCATTGGTTGTTTAAAAGTGTATTATTTACTTTCCTCATATTTATGAATTTTCTAGTTTCTTCCTGTTATAAATGGACAGTTTCATTCTATTATGATTATGTTTAGGCATGAATAATGCTTTTGGCCATGAATTCAATGTTAATGAGTCAAGTATATATATATAGGGAAAGAAAGAGATAAAGAATTTATCATACACACACACACACACACACAGAAAAGAGAGAGAGAGGACAGAATAAGGTGTTTTCAAACAAATACACATAAAACAGTTATGTATTAATCAGATATCAAAAATGTTGTGAACAGAGGTTCACAAGAACCTAACTCTGTATTTTCCCTAGGAGCAATAGGGCAGTATTCACCAATTCATTGTCCATGGCAACTTTATAGAATGTAACTACAACAATTAGCAAGAATCATTTGTATATGGTACAGAAGTAAAATATGAAAAAGAAACTATTTCTTTAAAGGTTGTGTTATAAAGAAGCTATCCTAAAGGGGGTGACATTTGAGTTAGGTTTTGAAAAATGAATGAAAGTTCATCATAAATATAAGGGGGAAGGGACATCACTCAGAGTGAGTAAATTGTATGGTAAAAATACAGACATGTGAAATAGCACTATGAGCTTGAGGAACCAGAAACAGTTATGGCATTTTTCTAACCAGGGAGTTTATCATGTTTTGCCCATGTTTATTAACATTCATACATCTCTAGGACAAATAAAAATCTAGGTAGAACCATCCCTCAGAGGTACGTGAAATTTGCTGCATATTTAAATTTTTTTGTTATGGAAAATTTTTAAGCCTAGGAAGTACAGACACTAATATAATCAACCCATTTGTACCATCACTTAATATCAACAATTATCAGCACATGGCCAATCATACTTCATCTATAACTGTCATACTTCCTCTCCTCAACCCAGATCTATGACATCATTTCATATAATCTGTAAATACTTCTACTGTATGTGTCTCTAAAGGATAAATAAAAAAAAAAATCCACCCAATAATACCAACAATAACAATTTTTAATACTACATTTAAAAAATCATTTAAGAGCAGTCATTTCTTAATGGCAGATATCCAGGCACTCTTCAAATTTCCCTATCTAAAAAAGACTATTTACAGTTGGTTTGTTCAAATCAACCTCCAAAGATGGTCACACACTATTATTTGATCTCTTAAGTCTGTCCTCATCTACAGGATTTTCTCCTTTTTTCTTGCCATTTGTGCAAGACAAATTTTATGTCTTGTTTTACATCTCTCAGACCACTTTTCACCTTTTTCTCAGATTGTTTCTGCAGCCCTTAGTATAGAGATATAACCTGAGAGGAAGAAACCTCAGCTCTGCTATGTATCTCTTGCCTTCTGCTTTAGAGTATCTCTGCAGCTGTAGTATGGGACCCCTGCAGGAGCCCGTTCATGTATTTTGGCACAGGCACATATATGGAGGCACAAAGGAGTTTACTTTTTGTTGGGACTTGGTCAATAAATACTCTCTTCTCTACTGTCTTGGATGGTCAATTCTTAGACAAAACTACATGGATTCTCAGACCAACAGGAATTGAGCCCTAGGTGTTTATATCAGTAATCAGCCCCACCACACATCCCTGAATTGGCTTTCCCTCCTTTCCTGTTTCACTTTTCCAGGTCCTTCTGAACCAGTTCCATACTTTTTAAGAAACTCAAACTAGATACCATTTATTTATAAAAGTGTATAAATCATTTATATTATAGAATTTCTCACATTTTTGGATTTTATTGATTATACCCCTATGATACTATTTAATAATTCCAGTATACTTATATTTTACCCATGATGAAAGTACACACAGAAAGCAACTGAAAGAGAACATACCAAAATTTAACTCTCTGAATGTTGAAATCATAGGAATTATTTTATTCTTTTTTTATGTTCCTTTATTTTCTAATAGATATCACATTTATTTAATAAGTATTGATTCATTGGCCTCAGCTATTGGTTAGACACTATTCTATGTGCAGGGTATTCAATAATGAATAAAACAGACAAAAATTCCAGCCTTTAGAGAGTATACAGTCTTTTGTAATCAGAAAGAAGGTATATAAAGTTTCCATTAATCGCACTGAATTTTAGATTTAGTCTTTTAAATTAGTTTTAGCACCTTGTTTTGAGAGATGTGGAAGGAGAGATTAAAGAAAGCTTATTGGTAAGATAGAGAAAAAATGATTGCAAGATATATTCCTGGGTTTTTGTTAGTAAATATTTTTGTGCTTGTCAGATTATTTCTAATACCCCCAGATAAGATCTGCTTTGTATCAGTAACTTTAAATAAGTATATACTTTGCTTCTGTGTGACAGTAAAAACGAAGTAAGACAGTGAATATAAGCAAGATCACTAAAGATTATTTGGTCACTTAAAGAAGATTGTTTTGTTCCTTTTGGGAATCATTATGTATTCTAATTGCTTCCACATATTTTGGCATTTTGTAATCTTCTGTTTTTTAATTATTGAAAGGCCTGTTATATGAACAGAGTAATTACTAAATGTCTTGATATGCCAAACACATTCCTGTTCTTCATAAAAAGCCAGAATAATGAATAATTGCTTTTCTTTTAAGATGATAAACATGACAGAAAATTATAATACATTAAAATGAGATTCAATGGAAAATTTGGCTTCATTTTGGTGTGCTTGTGAGCAGGAATTTCCACAAATGTTGGTATAGCAGAAGTAGAATATATATTATTCCTATGTGGGTTGAAACAAAGAAAAGAATGTGGCTGTTTTTTTATAGTTTGAATTTCTATTATAAGATGACTAGACTCTAGCCAGCAGCTCATATTTCAACTTGTTTTGTCATGTCTTTTGTACATACCGTATCCCAGGATACCTAACAGATCTAAATTAGTAAGTTTTAGTTTTAGAACAGTTCAAAAATAGTCACAAAGCTTATAAAGCCCTAAAATTAAGCCCTTGTTAAATGAGTGGAGAGTTGATGAATATTCTTACAGCTGGTAAGAATATTTCTGTACTATCCTTACCTGGCAGGGGTGAAACCATGATCATGAAGGTGGTTTTCCCAGGGTGAGACTTATCCATTGCACTCCAGATGTGCTGACCCCTGCAATTTCCCCAGGAAAAGAAAAAAGAATATTTCTCTACTGAATACCAAGAAAATTTAGAGTAGCCATAGTTAGGTAGGAAGAACATTAAAAGGGAAAAATATGTATAGTGTATATGACTTGAATATGTCTCATCTCCCTTACTGTGCAGTCTTAATGTCATTTGCCATGCCTGGGTATAGTGAATGAGGCAATTTGTTCAGGTTCTGGGCTTTCAGTGACTCTTACTACTCTAGTAACCCATTTTGCATAGCCAATGATTTGGAGAAATGGTGACATGGGGAAAGTTTTTAAAGTACAGTGTAGAAAAACATGAGCTTTGGTCAGAGCAGAGAAGATCCCTAACTCCGTTCCATCATATCCCATTGGCTGACCCTGCTCATCTTGATATGATCCAGTGGGTTCCATCTTTGTGCTCTCCCTCTGCCTCACTCCAAGTCACTAGTATTTCCTAGAAAAAAGCTTATGCACATGTCTAGTGCTTTGGTTTTTGCAGTGGCTTCCCAGGAGACGCCCCTTGATCACTTGCCTCTGGTGGCCAGTGAGGCTTACATTCAGGTTCCATAGGACTGTAAAAAGCAAACAAAGAGTCCTTAACTGGTGAACCCCCCTAGAGTGCAAAGACTGCACACTGAAACACACTCCCAGTCTTTCTGTGAAAGAAGCCTATTTGTTTGTCTTGAAGCTTTGGCTAGAGGGGCAGGCTTCTGATTTAACTTACATCTAGAGGCCAGCTAGAATACTCTGCAAAGACCTCATAGGCCAGTGGGAGCCATCTTCATGCTCTTCCTCCACATCATTCCAGGCTGCTTCTATCTACTGGAAGGAAGTTTGTGCTCATGTCTGGTACCCCAGTTTTTACAGTTGCTGCTCAGGACACACCCAGTAATCACCTGGATCTGGTGGCCATCACAGCTTATGTTCACAGGTCCCATAGGACTATAACAAATGGAAAACAGTTCTTAACTGGCTACCTCCCCAGCTCACAGCACAGACGTAGCAAACTGAAACACACCCCCAGTCTTTCTGTGAAAAAGGCTTATTATCTTATCTTCATAGCTGTGGCTTGAGGGGCAGACTTCTAATTAAACACATCTATCAGCTGGCTACAATCCTTTCCAGAGACTGGGGAGGCCCATCCTCTTGGTCTTCCTCTTCCCTGCCCCAAGATGCTTACTGAGATCCTCCCCTTTAGGACATTGACAAGTTTTGACACAACCTCAACTACAAAGAGCCTCTAGGAATAAAGTAGGCTGCTTAGATAATCACAAAGATTTGAGAGACAGCCAACAGCTATGGCAGGGTTGAATAAGGTTCCATTTTCACACAAGGCCACTTCTTCAAGACTGGGAGAGAATGCTGTTTTGTCTAATGCATAGAAACCAACACAAATTCAAGGAGAATGAAGAAATAGGTGAATATATTTCAAACAAAAGTACAAGATAAAACTTTAGAAAAAGACCTTAATGAAATGGAGATAAGTGATTTACTTGATAAAGTTCAAAATAACAGTCGATGCTCACTAAGCTCAGGAGAATAGTGCATATATAAAGTGAGAATTTCAATGA